TTAAATGGTTATGTTCGGATCAGATTTTTTTTTTTATTTTTATTTTTTTTATTTTTTTTTTTAATGTTAGGATCAGGTTGTTGTTTTTTTCGCGATCGTAATTAATCGCATCCAAAATAAACGTTTTTGTTTATGTATTATATGTGTGTATACTGTGTATATTTATTCTGTATATATAAACACACACACACATGCATGTATATATTTAAGAAAACGATGTTATATTTGTATATTAAATATATTTATAAATATAAAGATAAAGACAAAATATAAGAATATAAATATATACATGTAAATATTTTCAAAATATATACTGTATGTGTGTATTTATATATACAGAATAAATATACACAGTACACACACATATATTATATAAACAAAAACGTTTATTTTGGATGCGATTAATCGTGATGTCAGCACTAGTTTTTTTAACATTTATTTAAATGGTTAAGTTAGGATCAGGGTTTTTATTTTTTATTTATTTATTGTTTAAGTCAGTGTTTAATTTATTTAAATAGTAGGGGTTAGGGCTTATAGTTTATATTTTGTTTATTTATTTAAATTTGTTAAGTTAGCAGTTAGGGTTGATGTACTTATTTAGTTATTTATTATTAGTTATTCTATTCTATTATTATTTACTATATTTATTTTATTTATTTAATATTATATGAGTTGTGTTTATGAATATTGATTTATTGTTTGTTTATTTATTTAGTATTTAATTCTTTATATTTATTATATTATATATTATAATTTATTTATAGTTAAATTAGGGCTTATATTTAATATTTTTGTGTATTTAGTTTTTATTTATTTCAATTGTTAGGTTAGGAGTTAGGGTTTATTTTTTATATATTTTTTTGTGTATTTTATTTAGTTGTTTTGATTTACTATTATTATTATATTTATTTAAATTTTAGTTTGGAGTCCTCTTAACAACCGGTTTCCATTCACTTTTATTATACGCAAAAGAGTATATTCTTTAGATTGCAGGTTTTTCATTCCACAGGCCTGGTGTGATATCTGTGTGTGTGTGTGTGTGTGTGTGTGTGTGTGTGTGTGTGTGAACTTTACCTGTAATCACCTGTACTTTAGTTTGACAATAAACAAATGAGATGCCTGTGAAATATTACATAAAAGTGTGATTATGTTTACCTGCAGGAAATCAGCCATAATCTGGGCGTTTGCTACATCTACACCAAAGACTTCAGGAGTGTAAGTGCAGCCAGTTACTGCAGTATATACATTTTTTAACACACATCCTTTTCTTTTATTGGCTGTATGAAAGCTTCCAGATTTGGCAGAGGATAGTCTTCATTTATTTGAGAGAATCTTATTTCACATGTCCTCATCTGATGTTGTGCTAAACATGTTCTCTCTCTGTCTTCAGGCCGAAGAACAGTTAAACTTGGCATTGCAGCTGAATAAACACGATCTGACCTACATGATGCTGGGAAAAATCCACTTACTGCAGGGCGACACAGAGACAGCCATTGACGTCTACAAGAGCGCTGTGGAGTACGTCTCAATACACAACCTCACTTTTAAGCGCACGTTTTATACTGTTTGCCAAACTATCGTAGTTCTTGGACTATCCAGCATATGCTGGTTAGGTATGTTTTGAAGCATAACTGCTGGTTTGAGCTGGTTTAAGCTGGTCATAAGCACATGACCAGGTTAGAACCAGTTGAAACCAGCTCAAACCAGCAGCCATGCTTCAAAACATACCTACCCAGCATATGCTCTTTTTTCAACAGGGTACTTTACATTCACCAAGAGCGTCCAGAGTCGCTCAAAAGTGTGTTTTATGTTTAATACGCACACTTTATGCTTTCTTGCTATCAAGCGTCTTCGTAAAATCGCTTTATTGCGAGTCATGTGAGCGTTCAGATCTGAAGCTGCTGGGATCTCCAGACATGTTTTATCGTATGTTTTGTCACCAGTCACATTTTGACTTGAAGAGTCAAACACACTTTTTCTTGAAGTGTCTGAAGTGTTGTGTTTGTGCGGTGACTTACCCAGAATGCATTTCAACAGAGGGAGCGCCTCTTTTTATTTTCGGTCATGTTTCGCACAACGTGAGTAAAGATGTACGAGACAGTTTTGTTGCCAGAGAGCAACTTCAGACGCCTGGAGATGCTCTCAGCGTGTCGCTCTGCCACAGCGCAGATAAGACGCCCAAGGCTGCAAAGCATGCTGGGATCAGTGAGGCGCTCATAGCTGTAATTAATCACATTTACTGTCTCACTGTGACCTCTCTCTTTTCTTTTTCTCTCTTTCTACCTTGTCTTTTTTTTATTTTCTCTTTGTCTTTTAAATGCTCTCAGAAAAACCCCTGAGGACTTGCTGAAGTAGTCTGTTTTTCTCCTTAAAGGGACAGTTCACCCAAAAACTGTCATTATTTACTCACCCTCATGTTGTTTCAAACGCATATGACTTTCTTTCTTCAGTGCGAAACAAAAGTAGGCTGAATCTTCTCGCTGCTCTTTTGCGTACAACGAATAGTGCTGTCAACAGCTCAACTGTCAAGCTCCAAAAAAGATGCAAAAGCACAAATAAATCTATCATAACAGTAGTCGAGATAACTTGTGCAGTCAAATCATAGCTTTTGTGTGCGTAATGGACCAAAATTGAAATAGGTAATTGCTGGGTAGTTGATGACAAATTATTTGAACTATTTATTTATTTGTTTATTTTTATTAATTAATTTCATTTTGAATTAACCTTTAATTAAGTCCACTCTGCTAAGTTAATTTATAAATAGATTATATTCATTTTTAAATTAACTCATAAATGTATTTTATTCAAAGGTGATTTATGAATAGAATTTATTTGTAAATTAACTATAAATTCAGTACAATAAATGCAATGTATTTTTGGCAATGTATAATAATTACAATAACAATCATTTCTTATTATTAAATATTGTATCTTTACAATTATTAGTAGTTATTTTTAATTAATAATAATAGTACACATTTATTATTAATTTGAATATATATTATGAATAATATTTTTTAAAAATCTACATTATGTGCAAACAGATTACAGTTTGATTATATTTGATCAATATATAATAATAATAATTATTATTATTCAAATATATTGTCAAAAATCTGTAGATTATCTATAAATAGTTTACAGTTTCAACAAGTTTGACAATATATATTTTAAAGATATTAATAATAATAATATTTTTTTTTTTATTATGATAATGATAAAATTAGATTTTTTTTTTTACATTACGGTAATGAGAATTTGGTGAAAATAAGAATGCTTAATTCTATTAGTCAGAATATTGTCAAAATGCAAAAGCTCTTAATAAAGCTCATTATTGTCTAAAAGCAAAATATTATTTCTTATTTCTTATGTTTTATAATACTTTCATTTTTTGAGCTTTTTTTTTTGTTTTTTTGGGGTCAGCTACTTCTATAAAAACACCTTTTTTTACATTCAATAAATGAAAGTGCAAAAGGAATCACTAATCTGCTTTTCTCAGCGTGAATCCAACGATTTGATGACTCTTGATTACTGTTGTTGACTTTCCTCTCTTCCCGGAGAGCAGAAATGGAGATGACTCTGAAAAACTCTCCTCCCCTTGTCCACACACACACACACACACACGCTGTCTGTGAGTCTGGCTCAGATATCAGAGAACCGCGGGGAGCTTTAAGCCGGCATGTGTGTGTGTGTGTGTGTTTGAGATCTCCTCATTATCGCAGCCCTCCCACCGAGCTGATGAATTAGTAACGTGCAGCAGTGGGACGCGCCGTAATGAGAGGAGCTTTCAGAGCTCCCACTTTTCCACCCGCTTCACCTCGCGATAGCGGGAAGATGTGCCTCACAGCCAGCATGAATTAATAACAGCTCGCTGCTGGCATGAGCTGCTCAAACACACATGTGATGGAGGAGCTTTAGCTGCTTTCATCATTCTCATGTCTCCTGCCACAGTCTGAATCTGAATCAATATGCTTTATAATCATACATTTAACTACCCCTAAAATCAGCTTATAGTAAGCAGAGATCTGAAAAATCGAAAGCCTCTAAAATCTGATTGGTCGATTGAAGTGTGATACTTTGAATGGAAATTTAAAGGAATAGTTCATCCAACAATCAACATTCTGTCATCCTTTAAATGTTTCAAATCTGATGTTTGTGAATCGTTGTATTGCAGTAATGACAGCTGGAGCCAAATGTGCTTACTTGTCAGGAGAATAATGTCAGAGTGTAAAAAATCGTAATGGTCTTAAAAACATCCTTAACATATAATTTGTCCTTTTGATTTGGGTTGAAATATCCACTGTTATCTCTATCTGTGTCCGTCTCAGGTTTTCTCCAGAGAACACAGAGCTGTTGACTACACTGGGACTGCTGTACATGCAGGTGAGTGACGTGTTCATCACAATCACAGCATTAATATCCATCTATACTGTCATACGTACAGTTTTAGAATGCAAAATGCAGATGAGGATTTGTGGGGGTGCTTATTAGATATTTTCACTAGTACTCTTTACGATCAAATTCATATTCTAACTAACCCCTAACCGTAAATATAAAAACAATTAATAATGTTCTATTGCTGTACATATATACAGTATATATATATATATATAGATAGATATATCATGTTAATAAAAATTAGATATACAATTTTTTATTAACTATTTTTGAAAGTGTTTTTTTTTTATTATTATTATTTTTATGTGTTATACCATGGTTTCCTATACTTGAGTTTGTAAATTGATAAAAAAAAGTGAGTCATTAATTAATTTAAAACAAATTGATCTGTTATTAGTGTATTTGTTTACTTCTGTCTTAGCTTGGGAAATACCAGAAAGCCTTTGAGCACCTCGGAAACGCTCTGACATACGACCCCAATAACTTCAAGGTGGGATAGTTTCAAGGAGTTTCGTTCTTTAGAACTTTTACTAACTCTTATGTGTCATTAACATTGAGTGTGTGTGTGTGTTTGTGTGTGTTCAGGCCATCCTCGCGGCCGGCAGTATGATGCAGACTCATGGAGATTATGACGTGGCCATGAATAAGTACCGTGTGGCAGCGTACTCTGTCCCTGAGAGCCCGCCGCTCTGGAATAACATCGGGATGTGCTTCTTCGGCAAAAAGAAATATGTGGCTGTGAGTTACAGACTGTCACGAGAACATTTAGTGCTTTTCTTTGACCTGTTTTACCTTTCTTCCCCCCTGCCTCTCTCCTGCAGGCCATCAGCTGTCTGAAGAGGGCAAACTATCTGTCTCCGTTTGATTGGAAGATCCTATATAATCTGGGTTTGGTTCATCTCACCATGCAGCAGTACGCATCAGCTTTCCACTTTCTGAGCGCCGCCATCAACTTGCGGCCGCGCATGAGCGAACTCTACATGCTACTGGCCGGTAAATATATCAAAAACTACTGCTGAAGTAGTCTGACATAGTTTTATCAACATGCAACGTGCTGCTTTTCTTTTTATTATATAAAAAGAATAAGTGTCACTTTACATAAAAAAATAAATTTTAAAATAAAAACAATACAAAAAAAACACTTACTAAAAAAAGACTAATAAAGTAATCACATACATTTTTGTAATAAGGTAGTATGTGTTACTTTTGCTTTTTCATTTATTTTTAAAAAATAAATTACTTCTTACTTTATCTTAAAAATACAGTATTACATTTTTATTAAATAAATGTAAAAATAAAAACAACCATAACATTTACTAAAAAAGATCATATTTTAAATGCAATAGTAGCTTTTTTTTAACTAATTTAAAAAATAAGTAATGTGTGACTTTACATAAAAAATATTTGAGATATTTTAATTAATTTTAAAATAAAGAGTTTAAAAAACGCTTATTAAGAAAGACAATAAAGATATATTATATTAATAATATATTTTACACAATATATTAAATATGAAAATCATCCATGTATGAGCAAATTTGCATGCTTCTGGCCAACCACAACTAATACTACTATCTTAAGTACTTTTTAAACAGATAGCATGTTACTTTTTTTATTTAATTTAAAAATAAATAATTTGTTACTTCACATAAAAAATAATAATGCCGTATGATATTAAATATATTTTAAAATTAATATTAAAAATAAATAATGTGTCACTTTACATTAAAAATAATAATCTAATAACAATTGCTGCTGTTTGAAATAGTTTTTTAAACAGGTAACGTGTTGTACTTTTGCTATTTACTTAATGCTTTAGATAAAAAATTATAATGCAATAATGCACTTTTATTTTTAATAAATAAAACATTTTTAAAAGAACAGTTCCTTTAAAGAACAGTGTAAATGTGAGAATCAATATTTGCCCAGATTAATTTAATGTGATTGTTATTTGTGCTCTGACCCTCATCAGTTGCTCTGACCAATCTGGACGACGCAGATAACGCCCGCAGGTCTTACGAGCAGGCGCTTCAGCTGGAGGAGTATGTACTTCAGACCCTGATCTGTGCTGGTAAATCTATAATGTACAGAACTAGTTGAGTTTAAGTGAGTGTATTTTGTCTGGCAGGTCAAACCTGCTGGTGAACCTGAACTTTGCGGTGTTCCTGTATAATCAGGGCGATAAGAAGGCCGCCCTGCTGCAGTTTCAAGAGATGGAGAGAAAAATCAACATTCAGGTGGACAATAACAGCAACACTGAGTTTGACCCAGAGGTACTGAACCAGTCTTATTCTGAGCAAAATCTGGCCATTTAGACATTGAGACTTCCATTTACTCCATTAGTAACCAGTTCATGTGACACAAGACTAAAGCCTTTAACTCTAGTTGTGATATTGCCTATTTAAAATCACGCCAACTCTGATTTCAATTCTAAACACAGTAATGGAAACATTTTTTGGTTTTGATGTTGTCACCTCTTTTGTTGGTTTGAGAAACTAACAGCATCAGTATGGAGTGTTACAGAAACACAGTACAAAACAAGATGGAATCCATGAGGTTGATTTCTCCCAGCTACTGACTTGAACGTCTTGCCTCATTCATGAAACACAAACACATTTGTGTGAAAAGTGTTCATAAAACCATTCGTGGCTCATTTACAAACACTGCTCAATGTTTCTAAAACTGCATTCGTTAAAAAGCCTCGAAATGGGTTTAAGGCTGGTTTAAGACAGATGAAAATTCACATATCGAGATTAATTAGTACATCCCAAATAAAACATTAAAAATCATACGTCAGAGGTGTTTGGATGGTACAACGGCGGAAAGCCTGAACTTCATGACTAATAAGAATAAATGACATATTCATTATGTGTAACCTTTAAAAACAGGAAGCATCATAAATCACAACAGTCGTCATTAGCGCCACCTACAGTACATACAGATAACCAGCTGACCAAACCAGAATGAATGGAAAATAGTTACGATTTCTCTTAATATATACAAATGATGCTGGCTCCAATTTACAAAAACCTACAGCTAGATTCCCACCTTGAAGAACATTAAGATTAAGACAAGAATAATGAATGCTATTTAATAATATGTCCACAATACCGGCAGGTAAGCTGGTGATCTAAACTATTAACTACAATCTAATATTTAGGAATTATTTCGACTTTAGATTGACCCTGGGATCATTGCTTTAATTACTTATGCTTAATTTTATTATGTTAAGAGAGCTTATGGAAGCCCGTTTCTGCCACTGAATACAAATTTAAAAAAAAGGTAATTGCAACTTTTTCTCTCACAATTCTGACTTTCTCACAATTGCGGGTTTATATTTCACAATTCTGGCTGTATAACTCGCAATTGCAAGTTTATATCACACAATTCTCACGTTATATCTTGCAATTCAGAGAAAAAAAGTCAGAATTGTGAGATGAAAAATTCGCAATGACCTTTTTATTTTTTTATTCAGTGGCAGAAACATGCTTCCATAAGAACTTTACGTTACTCAGATTAAGAAAAAAGCACATAGCTGGATAAACCTGACGGCCTTCCGGTTCTGCTACTTATTAACGTTCATAAACCAAATAAAGGAGTGTTTAGGAATACAATGGAGATTTGGGACGTTTAAGACTCTAAAATCATTCTCTCGTTCGCTTTCATTCGTCCCAATAGCAGCCGCAGGTCTTGTTCACCTGTTAACCAGAATATGATCTCCTCTTATTATAATTTTAAAAAAAGTTAGTAGTTCTTCCAAAAATAAAAATTCTGTCATCATTTACTCACCGAAAACTATCTGACTTAGACTTCTGGACTATTTCTTATGTAATAAAGAAGGTCGTTTAAGTTTAAAGGCGAGCGAATTATGACCGAACGTTCATTTTTGGTTAAATTAACCTTTAAAAAAAAATGGCGGAGGCTGGCTCCGTCTTTCACAATGTGATTTTAGACTAAAGTAGCAACAACAAAAGCACAGTGCCCTGCATCTCAAACTAGTTTTGCTCTGAAAACCATCCTGTCGTTTGATGCCCCGTGAGTCTGTTGAGTTTCTGCAGCTTTAGGATCTAATGACGAGGACGTATCTTCAAAAGCATGGACGAGAGGCGTCTCTTAGAGCTCAGGTCGAGGCGTGACCTCTGAAAACATAAGTCCTTCGGCGGAAATGGCGTCGCCCAATCCCACAGTCCTAAGCGGCTGTTTGCACACCAGGACCGGCGTGAGATGGAACGAAACGTTCCCTCTGCGCCACACGGTGACCGGTCGGGTCGGGTCGACCGTTAAGCTCTCCCTCGGCTCTGAGAAGGAGCTGTTGAAGTTCAGCGGTGCCTTGAGGACCACCTTCGTAACATCCACCGCTTGCAGACCGCAGGCTTGACTGCTGGCCACACGGGCGCCCGCGGCCACCGCCGCCTCCTGGTTTCCCCAGTGGCCGTCCACCGTAGCCAGGATGTGGTATGCTAGCGTGTGGAAGTGGATCCGGGTCAGGTCGGCTTCGGATTCAGGGTCCGCCCGGCCGTGCTGCTCTAGGACCCAGAGCAGGATGTCGCTGACGCGGCCCACGTCGGGTATGCCGTCCCAGGAAGCAAGGTCAGTGTGAGGTCCACCTCCGGACTGAGTTAAAAACAGCAGCTCCTGTTCGTTCAGACCAATGGAGTTCACGATGGGCAAGACCTGCTAACAGAAGAGCACGGAGAAACCTGAAATGCTGTAGATGAAAACCTTGTCGTTCTGCTTTGATTTGCACTAGAATACTGGAGTTTATTTTCTTTAAATGGCTGATAATATACAAAGGCTTCCTCATAAGATCTGAGCAATTTTCCAGTAGTTTGTGATAAGGATTTATAAATAATTTGTTTGATTATAGAGCTGGCACTCAAAAAGTGCAATTTTTGTGAGTCTCCAAAAAATTTGGAGTCTTAAAGGGGTCATATGATGCGATTTCAAGTTTTCCTTTCTCTTTGGAGTGTTACAAGCTGATTGTGCATAGTGCTCTGTCTTTACATACTTTACGATTATGGTAAGGGGAGTTACATTTCCGACGAGTGCTTGTGGTGTTCGGCCAATCATAATGCACTGGGTCAGCTGGCCAATCAGAGCAGACTGCGCTTGTCGGAAGGAGGGACTTTGTAGAAAACGAAGCGTTTGAGAGAAGCGGGGCATAGAGGACCTACAATAATGTACAGTATTTGAAAAATAATGTGTTTTTTGAACATTAAAGCATGTCAACATATTCTGTTACACCAAATAATGATCTTTAAAAAAAGCATCATATGACCCCTTTAAACCTTCACATTTACCTCCTGCAGGATCCGGTTCATGTAGTCTCTGTCTGTCATACTGGCCAGCTCAAGGTGGATGGGCACCTCGTTCCTCACGTCTGAGATGGCAACCACTGCCTGCAGGAAGTCAGAACACAAGAGCTTGAGAGCTAATACGTAAGAAACAGCAGTGAAGTGTCCAACAAACCTCAAAATATCTCCTTTACTCTGTCAGAACAGCATATAATACCTGTCAAACGTTTCAGAACCATCCATTTTATTAATATGTAATTACACTGACTCAGATGGGCATTGAGCAACTCTGGATTAAGGGTTTTCTGGTCTCGGACCTCTTTCAGTCGTTCCTCCCAAAGATCCCGGCCCATTCCTTCCATCATATGCAGTCCGGACAGAACCACCAGATCCGGCTGGAACTCCTCCAGACTGGCCACAAATGTCTCCAGCGTGCTCATTTCACCGTTGGACACGTCATGGGACAGGATAAAGCGGTTAGCCTGAGGAGCTCTTGAGGAACCCCACTGTTCACCTGTAGGGGGCGTCAGAGAGGAAACGCTCGGAGACACAAAAACCCAACAGTACCAATGTGCCAGAACACGACTGGAGTACATCTTATAATACTGTTTCAAATGTGTCATGTTACAGAAATGAAATGATATGTGAGTGTGGTTTTGAGTGGGTCTCTCTCACCTGACTTGTACTCCAGGATGAGGTGGAACTCATCCATCTCCTGCAGAGATTCTGGTGGGACTATGATCTGTTCATCCAGCATATCATGAAGCTTTGGCCCCACCGGACCACATAAGAGGACCTGAGAGAAAACAGCACACTTTAGAAAACTATAATCAGGTATGAATGTGCTGCTTTTGCACTCTGAAGAATGATCATAGTTATTATATGAAGGAATTTTAGGACATTTTGACATATAAAACCATGACTCACTTTCATCATTAAAGAAATGTATCATTAAAGAACTTGGCCATCTAGGACAGAGATGGGCAGCTTCAGTCCTGGAGGGCCACTGTCTTGCAGAGTTTAGCTCCAACCCTAATCAAACACACCTGAACAAGCTAATCAATGTCTTTAAGATCGCCAGAAAGCTACAGGCAGGTGAGTTTTTAACAGAGTTGGAGCTAAACTCTGCAGGACAGTGGCCCTCCAGGACCGAAGCCCCCATCCCTGATCTAAGATGTAGAAGAGTTTGTTTCTTCATCAGATTTGGAGAAATGTAGCATTGCATCACTTGCTCACCAATGGATGTGAATGAGTGCCGTCAGAATGAGAGTCCAAACAGCTGATAAAAACATTTACATTTACATTTAGTCATTTAGCAGACACTTTTATCCAAAGCGACTTACAGTTGGGGGATACATAAAGCGATTCTTCTTAAAGAGGCAAACAGACACAGGAGGTGCTTGTAATACCAAGTTTTTACACATTGTTCAAATAAGTACAAGCTAGAAAGAGAAGGAATAAATAAAGAGAGAGCATACAGTGGGGCAAAAAAGTATTTAGTCAGCCACCAATTGTGCAAGTTCTCCCACTTAAAAAGATGAGAGAGGCCTGTAATTTTCATCATAGGTATACCTCAACTATGAGAAACAAAATGAGAAAAAAAAAATCCAGAAAATCACATTGTAGGATTTTTAAAGAATTAATTGATAAATTCCTCGGTAAAATAAGTATTTGGTCACCTACAAACAAGCAAGATTTCTGGCTCTCACAGACCTGTAACTTCTTATTTAAGAGGCTCCTCTGTCCTCCACTCGTGACCTGTATTAATGGCATCTGTTTGAACTCATTATCAGTATAAAAGACACCTGTCCAAAACCTCAAACAGTCACACTCCAAACTCCACCATGGCCAAGACCAAAGAGCTGTCAAAGGACACCAGAAAAAAAAATTGTAGACCTGCACCAGGCTGGGAAGACTGAATCTGCAATAGGTAAGCAGCTTGGTGTGAAGAAATCAACTGTGGGAGCAATTATTAGAAAATGAAAGACATACAAGACCACTGATAATCTCCCTCAATCTGG